CAGCTGCAAGAAGCTCGCCGTAAAATTCCACCTGTTTATCGGCTGAGTACTCTTAGAGTTGCGAGTGCGTATCGGACGATATCTGAGGATGCAGTGTGCGTCATCTCAGGAATGTTACCGATAGAGCTATTAGCTGAGGAGCGAAGATCTTCATACCAGCGGAAGAAATCAGAAGCGCTGAGTCCCGAAGAACTGGAAATCCAAGAGAGATGATAGAGCTTGAGCCGATGGCAGAAGAAGTGGATAGATTCGACCAAGGGGAAATGGACCCATTATCTGATCCCGCATGTGGCTGTCTGGGTAAATCGAGATCATGGAGAGATAAACTATTATCTTTCTCAAATGCTTTTAGGACACGGGTGCTTCCGGGCATATCTTCATAAATTCAAACATGAAGATTCCCCGACGTGTCCCACCTGCGTAGAAGTGAACGAGAACGCGGAGCACGTATTCTTCACATGCCCCCGTTTCAGTGACATCCGGGATGCTTGGGAGACTGAACTTGGAAGGAAAGTCTCGCCCGAAAATGTAGTAGAAGCAATGCTGTCATCAGAGACAGCCTGGGACGCAACGAGCAACTTCGCGGCGGAAGTCATAAAGGAGCTCAGAAACGAGGAACGCAAGCGCAAGGTTGCAGTATAGGTGAGAAATCTATTTGGAACCTCCTAATCACACACAATATCTTAGCAGGTTAGGGGGACGTACATTGGATGGAAATAGTAAAAGAGCAAATAGCTGAAGACCTCCCTCGCGAAGTAATAGTTAACGGTCATGCCGCGAGAGAAATGGGAAGTGACAATGAGAGGTAAAAAGAGGAAAAAAGGGTTTTTACTGGGTAAGAATCCCAGATCTGGTTTTTAACATCACTTTACCAGAAGATTTTGAAGATTTTCCTAAACCTCTATAAAAATAAAAACATACATACACACACGCACACACACGCACACACCCCTCCTAGGAACTGCAGCACCTTGTCGACCGTGGAGGGGCTTAAGGGATGTACCCAAACTAAGAAGCAGTTGAAGGCGAAGTCTGTCCTTTTCAGGACATCTTGGGAGAGAAGCCTAACTCCAAAAGAGGCATACAGGGTGGGCTCCCTACAACAGCCTGCCCCTAATGTCAAGGTGTTCATCGTGCTAAGTTCCGGAAGGCGCCAGGAGTAGTCGTCGCGAACGGTGGTCCCTGGGGCACCAGGTCCCACCCCAGATATATTATGTGGCCTTACTCCAACATCCGGGGCTCTCTTAGGAATGGACTGTAATACTTCCCTAGGTACTCGTAGGAACAGAATGGAGAAAAATTTTAGAACAAAAACATGTGAAGGTCGAGGAGGAATGAGCGGGCAGCATGCCCAACAAGCAGCACTTGATGCAAGTGCGGAGATGATGAGGACGCAGGCATGGGATCGGCTTGACCAGCTGATCAACGACCTGTACAACTTCGTTAACTCGAAGCCAAATGTCCATAAGGAGATTAAAAGTAAGTTGACGACTATTGCAATTGCTTTTAGAAGACTGAAGGAGACAGAGATGGCTAAGCGAAGGCAAAAAAGCCCTCACCATCGCTTTACTCCGATCATAGTGCGGACACTAGTGATGTCGTCCCACACTCGGACATTTTCCGAAACGACGGCGAAGAACACCGAGGCGGAAGAACTGGAACAGTTAACGCCAAATTCCCGGGAAACAGTCACGGGGAGGCAGCGCAAGCGCACTTCTCCCGAAGCGGAGTCTAAAGCCACAAAGAAACGAAAGGAGCAGGTAGCACCACCGCCACCCACTGCGGAACCGCAGCTTCCTAACAGGTCAGAGTGGTAGGAAGCCAAACCTAAGAAGAAGAAGAAGCAGCTTATAGAGCAGTCTTCAAAGCAGAGGAAACGAGCGGCAAGACCTGATGCACTGCTCATTCGCCCAAAGGACAAGGGGTCATACTCCGACATTCTTAAATGAATGAAGCAGGACGCAACTGCCCTGGAGTCCAAACAATGCGTGGAGAAGATTCGGAAGAGAGCGACAGTAGACATGCTTATTATTCTCTCGAAGCAGCACTCCGAGAAGGTCCCCGGTCTGCAGGACGCCATCATTAAGCTCCTCGGAGAGGAGGCGGATGTCCTCAGTAAAACACCAGAGGAAAATCTCGAGGTCAAAGACCTCGAGGAGACGACAACGAAGGAATAAATAATCGATGCGTTGAAGAAAGCCGCTGGAGAAGGTCCCGTAATTCCCCTCAATTCGATCAAATTGCTACGAAAGGCATACGGAGGTACCCAGACCACCTGGGTGAGACTCCCAGTGGCGACGACTAGGAAAATCGTCGGCGAACACGGCAAGATCAAGATCGGGTGGGTTAACTACCGGGTCAGAAGAGTGGAGAGACCCCTGAAGTGATTCAAGTGCTGGGGCTTCGAGCATATCGCCAATAAGTGCAAAAGCGCAGTCGACCGCTCCAAAAACTCTAGTAAATGCGGTGAGGACAGTCATCTGGGTGCAAAATGTGAGAAAGACGCCAAATGCATCCTCTGTGTCGCGAAGAGTCGCATGGACAACTGTGCTCATATTGCTGGCAGCGGTAGATGCCTAGCATACAAGGAGGCACTCCAGGCGCTGACCAAAAATCGACGATAAGAATACTTCAGCTTAACCTCAACCACTGTGAGGTTGCACACGATCTGCTCACACAGTCGGTGCGAAAGCTGAAGCCCGATCTCGTAATGATTTCGGAGCCATACAAACATTTTCATGAGCAGCCATGGGAGACGGATACCACCGCCAAGGCTGTTATTTGGTCCTGCGGTAAATACCCCTTCCAGAGTGGCGTCCATACAGCGCAGAGCGGCTCTGTGAGAGCTAAGCTGGGTGGAATCCACTTCTACAGCTGCTATGCTCCACCTAGTCTATCCATCGATGAGTTTGCAGACTTCATGGATCTATTAACCGACGACGCGAAGCAGCACTTCTCCATAGCAATCGCTGGGGACTTCAACGCCTGGGCAGTCGACTGGGGTAGTAAGGAGACTAACACAAGAGGGCAAGCACTTCTGGAGGCCATGTCCGTATTGTTGTCTTGCTAAACAGTGGTGATGAACCCACATTCGCAAGAGGAGAGGCGAGCTCAATTGTGGATCTCACCTTCGTGAGTAGCAGCCTTGCAAAGGGAAACTGCTCATGGAGAGTAACTGACATCTACACTGCAAGCGACCACCGTGCGATATATTGAGAAACACGTACTTACCGGACAATCGGTCCAAAATCCAAAAAGACCAATTGTATTGGCTGGAGAGTGAGCACCTTTGATTCTAGCGCTTATTCAATAGCCCTAAATTATCGCCCTGTAAGTGGTAGCAATGCCACCAAAAAGGCGCGCAGTCTCATGAGGAGAGGAACCGAAGCTTGCGATGCCACCATGACCAGGAAGCGGACAACAAACCTGCATCCACCGGTATACTGGTGAAATGATACCATCGCCACTCTGCGGAAGGAGTGCAATGCAGCCAGGAGATTGTCTCAGCAGGGCCGCAAAAGACCAAACTGGGAAGAGCTAGATCTTAGGCATAAGAGGGCAAGCCGGAAGCTCACTAAAGCCATCAAACGCAGCAAGAAGCAATCATGGAGCTAGCTTTTTACGCAGGTGGAGAGCGACCAGTGGGGGAGACTCTGCAAGGTGGTGATGACACGAAAAGTCAACCAATGCCGTCGCCAACGTATCCGGTACTCTTTAAGGGGATTGTGAAAGTACTGTTCAGGCAACAACCGGAACTTCAACATACACCCGAACGATGGTAGGAATTGGTGGTCCCAGAAATCACCCGAGAAGAACTGATGGAAGCCTGCAATAGGGTGGGAAACACCAAGGCCCTTGGTTTCGATGGGACCCCCAACATCGCCCTGAAAGCAGGTATCCACACAAGGCCAGAGATGTTTTTGGACATGTACAACGAGTGCTTAAGAGAAGGCATCTTCCCTGCCATGTGGAAGCAGCAGAGGCTAGTATTACTCCCAAAAGGGAAAAAACCATCGGACGACCCGTCATCGTACCGTCCGCTATTCATGCTCGATACCGCTGGCAAAATCCTCGAGCGTATTGTCCATCAACGAATAAGAGCGGCCATCGAACCCCTCTTGGCAGACAACCAATATGGCTTCCGGAAAGGCCGGTCCACTCTGGATGCGATCAGCCTGGTCGTCGATACTGCCAAGACCGCGATCTCAGGAGAAAGATGGCTGAATGGCACGAAGAAGTATTGTCTAGTGGCGACACTAGATATCAAGAATGCTTTCATCTCGGTCAGGTGGGACTGTATAATGGAAGCTCTTAGGAAAATTGCGGAAAATGATTGGCAGATATTTCACTGGAAGAATCCTGAAGTACGACACGGAAGATGGTTCTGAGGAGTACGGAGTCACCGGAGGTATACTTCAAGGCTCGGCATTGGGTCCCTTGTTGTGGAAAATCATGTATGATGGTCTACTGAAGCTGGAACTGCCAAATACCTGGAGGAGATCAGCCTCAGTTTCGACATGACCTTCGAGACGATCTGTCGCTGGATGAACACTGTGGGACTGAGCCTAGCTGAACATAAGACCGAAGCCGTGCTGATCACTAGCAGGAGAAAAATTGAGTCAATCACGCTGCAAGTCGGGTCCTGCGAAATCACCTCCCAGCCATACATCCGATACCTGGGAGTGACGATCGATGCCCGACTTAATTTCAAGCAGCAAGCTGAGCACGTAGGAATTAAGGCTTCTGGAGTCAAATCTAGTTTATCGCGCCTCATGCCCAACATAGGAGGTCCAAAACAGAGAAGACGACCATTGCTGTCGTCAGTGATCACATCGGTGCTCACCTACGGCATTTCCATCTGGGTGGACGCATTAAAGTTACAGGAATCACGGCGGAGAATTGCACTAGTCTATCGACTGAGTGCGTTGCGTGTCGCGAGCGCTTATCGTATGGTGTCCGAAGACGTGGTGTGAGTTATAGCCGGGATGCTCCCTATAGAAATGTTGGCCGAAGAACGAAGGTCATTGTATCAGCAGAGGAAATCTGAGACACTAAGCCCAATAGAGCTCAACACAGAAGAGAGACGAAAGAGTTTACAGCAATGGCAGGAGAAGTGGGACAACTCGTCGAACGGAAGATGGACTCATCGACTGATCCCACAGGTGAGTTCTTAGTTAAACCGCACACATGGTGAGGTTAATTATTACGTGACACAAATGTTTTCGGGACATGGGTGATTCCGGGCGTATCTTCATAAATTCAAACATGAGAATTTCCCGAAGTGTCCAGTTTGCACCGAAGTCGACGAAGCCGCGGAGCATATGTTTTTGAGATGCCCCCGCTTCAGCGAGAAGCGGCATGTTTGGGAATCTGACCTTCGAAGGGAGGTCTTACCTGAAACCATGGTGGAAGCTATGCTGTCATCGCAGGCAGCCTGGGACACAACGAGTAACTTTGCGGCGGCAGTCATTAAGGAACTCAGAAGGGAAGAACGTGAGCGCAAAGCTACAGCATAAGTGAGAAATCTAATGAAACCCCTCGTTGACAGCCAACACATTAGCGGCATGAGGGGAAGCACGCTAGATGGAAAACGTGGAAGAGCGAACAGCTGAGACCTCCCTCGCGAAGTAATACTTTACGGTAGTGCCGCGAGGGAAATAAAGGTTAGTGGAAATATGTCTGACTGGAGTTTACTGGGTATGGGCAGTGATAGTCACTCATTGCCCGAGTCCCACACTCACTTGACGGAGGGAAACACCTATCGCCTCCCTCTGGTGGTCGTGCGTGAATGCATTCTCCCACCAGACAGAAAAAAACACACGCACACACACACACACACACACACACACATGCTCCGCCTAGGAACTACAACATCTTATCGTTAGTGGAGTGACTTAAACGGATGCATCCCAAACTAAAAAACTGTTCAAGCCGAGGTCAAGTCCTCTTCAGGACATCTTGAAGGAGAAACACAACTCTAAAAGAGGTCTGCAGGGTGGACTCTCTACAACAGCCTTCAATAAAGAGAATAGGGTGGGCTCCCTTTAACAGCTTTAATAAATCATGCACAGTGATGAGAAAACACAGTTCCCATGCGTGTATCCCTGGAAAGGTAAATCCCGCCATCAGTTCCAATTCGGTAAAAACCCCGGCGGCTGATGGCGGCTCCATGAATTATGGGAGGAGCCAATCATCACGTGTTTTAAAAGTGGACTTCTTGGCATCGGATGCTACGAGGAGGGCTGGGCCTCAGGTTAATGAAACAAGTGGAGGTGGGCTGTCAGTCCAATAGCAGGAAGAGTGGAACCATGGATTGACGCATCTCCAACATAAAGAGATAACATAAAGAGATAAAGTCCAGGATGTTGGCTATCGTTGACATCGCCCAGAGACTTAAGGACTTGGAGGAGGTAGGAGCACCAAACGTGGATGTCACCGCTGAATCGGCACAGGTGCCAACGCCGTTACCGCCACGTTCTTGGTCGAACTCAAAATCAACGCTGAATGGTACGGAGACGGACTGGGGAGAGGAATCGACTGACACATATCGGAACATTCGCAGAGCATTGCGCAAGAAGCGAAGCTCGAAGGGTTCCCCCGGGACGAAGGGCAAGATACCGAAGGACTTCAAGCAGGAGGAAGCGGCTCACGGTACGATACCACCGAAGCCACCGGACTGGGAAACTGTGAAAAATAAGAAGAAAGAAAAGCAATGAGATAATCATCTTTCTCAGGCCCCGTACCACGAGATGGTGAAAAAGAAGAAGTGGAAACCAACGTCCCGACCTAATGCGTTGATTATTGAGCCGAAAGATAAGGCTAAGTATTCGGAGATTCTCACATAGGTGAAACAGGATCTTTCTATCGATCAAGTCCGTGAATGCGTTGAAAAACTGCACAGAACGACTATAGAGGATATGCTTATCATCCTGAACAAAAAGACAACTGACGGAGCTCCTCAGCTACATAAAACTATCTCCGACCTCCTCGTAAACGAGGCTGAGGTGCTCAGTTAGGGACCACAAGGGGAACTTGAGATCAAGGACCTTGACGAGGCCGCGACGAAGGAAGAGGTGTTTCCTCAACAGCCAGAGCGCCATCGTATGGGCGAACGGAGAAGAAATGTCATAGTTCCACTAATAACCAAAGAAGAACTGATGAATGCGTGCCGTAGAGTGGGTAACACCGGGGCCCCTGGGCTGGATGGAGTGCCTAATGTTCCACGGAAATCAGCCATCCACGCGAAACTGGAACTGTTCTTGGACGAATACAATGAGTGTTTGACAGAAGGCACCTTCCCCGTCAAGTGGAAGCAGCAGAAGCTTGTGTTACTCCCGAAAGGGAAAAAGCCGCCGAACCCCCATCATACCGTCCTCTCTGTATGCTCGATACCGCTGGCAAGATTCTCGAACGCATCGTCCATAAGAGAATGGAAGCCGCTATCAAACTCCTGTTGGTCGAAAACCAATACGGTTTCTGGAGAGGCCGATCCACTCTCAATGCCATCAATCTTGTAGTCGATACCACCAGGGGAGCGATTTCAGGGACGAGATGGCTCGGGGAACAAACAAGTACTGCCTAGTAGCGACTTTGGAAATCAAGAATGCCTTCAACTCGCGAGGTGGAACTATATCATGAAGGCTTTAGTAAAGTTCATCCTGCTGGAATACCTGCGGAGGATGGTGGAGAGCTACTTCACTGAAAGGGTTCTCAAGTACGATACGGAGTGTGGGTCCGAAGAGTACCCAGTTACTGGAGGGGTGCCTCAAGACTCAGTATTGGTTCCTCTCTTGTGGAACATCATGTACGATGGCCATCTGTAGTTGAAACTACCACGTCATGTGAATCTCGTGGCGTTTGCTGATAATGTGGCAGTGGCCAATGCGGGGAAACACCTGGAGGAAATAAAAATTATTTTCAACATGACCTTCAGGGCAATTCATCGCTGGATGGATACCGTAGGGCTGCAGCTGGCAGAGCACAAAACGGAGGCTGTGTTGATGACAAGCAGGAATCAAGTCGAGACTATAACGCTGCAACTCGGGGACTACGAACTCACTTCTCAGTCATTAATTCAATATCTGGAGATGATGATTGACGCTTCTGCCAAGGCTTCTGCAGTCAGAACTACTTTATCGAGCCTGATGCCCAAGATGGGAGGTCCACAAGAGAGAAGACGAGCATTACTGTCGTTGGTGGTCACGTCGTTGCTCACATACAGTATTGTCATTTCCGTTGATACACTGCAGTTGCAGTAATCGCGGCGGACCGTCGCATGTATTTACCGACTGAGTGCTCTCACAAAGTACACTACGCAGGTGTCCCCCTCCGATTTAGATGAAACTTAAATATGTTATAGGGGACCCAAAACTGAGGCACACGTATTTTTTTTTAGCTGCTCATATTGGGTTTTAGGGGGTGAAAGTGCTCTCTGAAGTTGACCACCTCTCGTGGTCATTTTTCGATTGCACACATAAGGAAGCTTTTTGAACAACCCTTTCGCTGTGTATCATGAAGGTCACAAGGAATGATGAAAATGCGGATTAATACCGTCTGCGGGGGGTGAAATATGGAGGGTAAACTACCCTTGTGAAAATTCATTGTTCTCCTAGAAAAAAAAATTTTGATGGAAATCCCATGGGATAAATTCTATTTGAAAAAGTAGAAAAAATACAGAATACCCATTTTGTTTTTTTTTTAATCGAAATTTAAAACTTAAGAAATAGATTTTTCGTGAATTGCGAAATTTCAAACCATTGCCTGTACAAAACGAAGCTTACGGCTAATGATGAGGGAAACCATTGCAACAGGATCCAGGAGTGATGTCCGGAAGGTTAACTACCCTATGGCGGGGAGGGGGAGAATTTTTTTTAATACGGGAGAAAAAATATCGGTGAGAATTTTACGAAACACATTTCGTTTGAAAGCATGAGATTATTCAAAACACATCCTGCGATTTTTTTCCCCAAATTAAAATTGAAAATAAAATACTTTTTTTTTATTATATACAAGTCTTCGATATTTTGTTACATAGAAAAGATGAGTGATGAATCTCTGGAAGTAACACTTGGAGGCTAAATAACCTTTTTGGGAGTTACGCTAAAGGGATCAGTCGCGTGGAATCGTCGCTCTGCAGTTTTTATCGAATTTGTGCGGTTTTATCGAAGTTATCAGGGGAATAAAGGGGCCTCAGTGGATGCTAGGAGTGCAAAGCACCCGGTTGCACTAGTAGTCGTGATCGATAATCGAATATTGGGAGTGATTGCACTGGATTTGGCATCGAGAAGAAGTAGAGGTTGGGAAGTGAGAAGAGAGAGACGGAATAAGTGGAAAAGAGAGGGCACGTCATTGGACGGGAGGGCACGGACGTCGACATGTCGGAAAAGGTGGGAGAGGCCCCGAAGGAGGGCAGCACCGAGAAAAATCGCGCCAGTGAGGACTCGCCCAAGAGGGTAACAGGGGATACAAAACCAGTGGGTAAAGAGAAGGCCAAACGAGGGAGGGGCAAACCGAAAAGTCAGAGGCGACGTCAGGCGGAATACTAGATTATCTTCTGAAAAGTAGCGGGTCCGGGTCGGAGTCCGAAACCGAGGCATTCGCAAAGAGCCAGAAGACCAATTATTTTCCCCCGAGCAGGGAGTTGAGAAGCCGTAGCGTCCCTACAACAGGCAGAGGCGCCGTCAGGGAGGTGTTGGAAAAGGGGAAGGAGGATGACCCGGAGCAGGATGAGGCGGATGTTGAGGAGGAACCCGCGGTGTTGGACGAATCAATCAGTGACAATAGCCTCCTGCAGAAAGTTGAAGATAACCTCTCGACGAAGGCCAACGGGGAAGGGAGGAGGGAAAACCGTGAAATGTCGATGGACAAGGACGGCGCCGCGGTGGTGTTGGGGGGTGAGGATCTTGGGGAGTTCAAAGCCTCGGTTGGAAATGGTGTGGAGGCGGACAAGGACAAGGAAGAGTCGAGGGTCGTGCCCCAGGTACGGGAGACTAGGGATGCAGGAGTGAATACAGATCCAGTGAGCTTTCAGTGTTGTGAGAATTGGGGGTAGGGACTGAATGAGCCGAATGAGATGAATTGAAGGAGGAAATGACCCGGCTGACGGTTAGTATGGAGCGAAGAGAGGACGCCTTCAAGGATTGGCAAAAAAGAGATCTTGAAGAGAGGAGGAAGAGTCAGGAGGAAGGAGGGATGTATCCGGGATCGGAAAGACAGGATGCCATTAATAACAACGTGAATTACACACTGAACGGTGGGATTAGCCCCATTCGGAGACACCTCTGTCAGGAGAACGAGAATGAGCACACGGCAAAACCTTTAGAGGTTGGCAACAGCACTCATGAGGGGAAGGGGAGGCTGATGGAAAAAACGACTCGGGAGAAGCAAAAGTCCCAGGAAAAGGCTCTGCAGGATCCGATGGAGGAGCTGGCGTGGCGTCAGGAGGCACCAGATGCGATGGGAAAGGGGGAATGCTACTTCGAGAATAAGGAGAGGAGAAAGCGGCAGAATAACATCG